CTCAAGTGAGGGCTTCAGCTCCGTCGGGCACCCCTGCTGGAGCCGTTTTGGGACCCTCTTGGGGCCCTGTGAGGTTGTCCTGGGGCCAGGCGGAACCTGCGATTGGAACTCGTTCCGCGTAGGCTGCGCCCTCGAGGGCTCCGGACGCGGAAACCCGGTAGCAAAAACGCAAGGAAAATGATGCAACATCGCTGCTCAAGTGAGGGCTTCAGCTCCGTCGGGCACCCCTGCTGGAGCCGTTTTGGGACCCTCTCGGAGCGCTCTGAGATTGTCCTTGGGCCTATTGGAACCATCTGCAGAACAGCCTTGGGCCTCTTTCAGCAGCCCCTGCGGCCTCCGGAGCCCGGGGCGCGGCAACCCTGTAAAAAACACAAGGAAAAAGAGCCCCGGTACCATCATCATCATCATCATCATCATCAGCATCAGCATCACCATCATCAACATCCTCCTCTTCCTCCTCCTCCTCCTCCTCCTCCTCCTCCTCCCCCTCTCCCTCCTCCTCCTCCTCCTCCTCCGCCTCCTCCTCCTCCTGCCGCTCCCCTCCGGGAACGCGGTGCTTTGGGTGGCGCCCTTGCCGACCGCGTTCCGGCAAGACTCCTCCGGAACGCGATCGGTACCGGGGCGAATGATGCAAAATCGCTGCTCAAGTGAGGGCTTCAGCTTTGTCGGGCACCCATGCTGTAGCCGTTTTGGGGCCCTCGTGGGGCTCTGTGAGGTTGTCCTGGGGCCAGGTGGAACTTGTGATTGGAACTCATTCCGCGTAGGCTGCGCCCTCGAGGGTTCCGGGCGCGGAAACCTGGTAAACAAAAAACATGGAAAACGATGCAAAATCGCCGCTCAAGTGAGGGCTTCAGCTCCGTCGGGCACCCCTGCTGGAGCCGTTTTGGGACCCTCTTGGAGCGCGCTGAGATTGTCCTTGGGCCTATTGGAACCATCTGCAGAACAGCCTTGGGCCTCTTTCAGCGGCCCCTGCGGCCTCCGGAGCCCGGGGCGCGGAAACCCTGTAAAAACAAAGGGAAAGTGAGCCCTGGTACCATCATCATCACCATCATCATCAGCATCAGCATCATCGTCATCATCATCAACATCATCATCATCAGCATTATCATCCTCATCTTCATCATCATCATCATCACCCTCCTCCTCCTCCTCCTCCTCCTCCTCCTCCCCCTCTCCCTCCTCCTCTCCCTCCTCCGCCTCCTCCTCCTCCTGCTCCCCTCCGGGAGCGCGGTGCTTTGGATGGCGCGCTTGCCGACTGCGTTCCGGCAAGACTCTTCCGGAACGCGATCGGTATCGGGGCGAATGATGCAAAATCGCTGCTCAAGTGAGGGCTTCAGCTCCGTCGGGCACCCCTGCTGGAGCCGTTTTGGGACCCTCTTGGGGCCCTGTGAGGTCGCCCCGGGGCCGGGTGGAACCTGCGATTGGAACTCATTCCGCGTAGGCTGCGCCCTCGAGGGCTCCGGGCGCGGAAACCCTGTAGAAACACAAGGAAAATTATGCAAAATCGCTGCTCGAGTGATGGCTTCAGCTCCGTCGGGCACCCCCGCTGGAGCCGTTTTGGGACCCTCTTGGAGCGCTCTGAGATTGTCCTTGGGCCTATTGGAGCCATCTGCAGAACAGCCTTGGGCCTCTTTCAGCAGCCCCCGCGGCCTCCGGAGCCCGGGACGCGGGAACCTTGTAAACACAAAGGGAAAATGAGCCCTGGTACCATCATCATCATCATCATCAGCATCAGCGTCAGCATCGTCAACATCATCATCATCATCATCATCATCATCACCACCGTCATCATCATCATCAGCATTATCCTCCTCCTCCTCCTCCTCCTCCTCCTCCCCCTCTCCCTCCTCCTCCTCCTCCTCCACCTCCTCCTCCTCCTGCCCCCCTCCCGGAACGCGGTGCTTTGGATGGCGCGCTTGCCGACCGCGTTCCGGCAAGACTCCTCCGGAACGCGATCGGTATCGGGGCGAATGATGCAAAATCGCTGCTCATGTGAGGGCTTCAGCTCCGTCGGGCACCCCTGCTGGAGCCGTCTGGGACCCTCTTGGGGCCCTGTGAGGTTGTCCTGGGGCCAGGTGGAACCTGTGATTGGAACTCATTCCGCGTAGGCTGCGCCCTCGAGGGCTCCGGGCGCGGAAACCCTGTAAAAACACGCGGAACATAACGCAAAATCGCTGCTCAAGTGAGGGCTTCAGCTCCGTCGGGCACCCCTGCTGGAGCCGTTTTGGGGCCCTCTTGGAGCGCTCTGAGATTGTTCTTGGGCCGGGCCAAGTGGAACCTGCGATTGGAACTCATTCCGCGTAGGCCGCGCCCTCGAGGGCTCCGGGCGCGGAAACCGTGTAAAAAACACAGGGACAAGTATGCAAAATCGCTGCTCGAGTGAGGGCTTCAGCTCCGTCGGGCACCCCTGCTGGAGCCGTTTTGGGACCCTCTCGGAGCGCTCTGAGATTGTCCTTGGGCCTATTGGAACCATCTGCAAAACAGCCTTGGGCCTCTTTCAGCAGCCCCTGCGGCCTCCGGAGCTCGGGGCGCGGAAACCCTGTAAAAACAAATGGAAAATGAACCCTGGTACCATCATCATCATCATCATCAGCATCATCAACGTCATCATCATCATCGTCATCATCATCATCATCGTCATCAACATTATCCTCCTCCTCCTCCTCCTCCTCCTCCTCCTCCCCCTCTCCCTCTTTCTCCTCCACCTCCTCCTCCTCCTGCTCCCCTCCGGGAGCACGGTGCTTTGGATGGCGCGCTTGCCGACCGCGTTCCGGCAAGACTCCTCCGGAACGCGATCGGTATCGGGGCGAATGATGTAAAATCGCTGCTCAAGTGAGGGCTTCAGCTCCGTCGGGCACCCCTGCTGGGGCCGTTTTGGGACCCTCTTGGGGCCCTGTGAGGTTGTCCTGGGGCCAGGTGGAACCTGTGATTGGAACTCATTCCGCGTAGGCTGCGCCCTCGAGGGCTCCGGGCGCGGAAACCCTGTAAAACGCACACGGAAAATAATGCAAAATCGCTGCTCAAGTGAGGGCTTCAGCTCCGTCGGGCACCCCTGCTGGAGCCGTTTTGGGACCCTCTTGGAGCGCTCTGAGATTGTCCTTGGGCCTATTGGAACCATCTGCAGAACAGCCTTGGGCCTCTTTCAGCAGCCCCTGCGGCCTCCGGAGCCCGGGACGCGGAAACCCTGTAAAAACACAGGGGAAATGAACCCTGGTACCCCCATGGAGGGTCGGGGCGCCTTTTTTTTTTTCGGGCCCGAGGCCTCTCCCCTGGGATATATATATATATATATATAATAGTCTAATATATATATATATAATAATATATATCGGTGATTGGAAGGATGGGATAGAGGGGAAGAGGGCGGAGGAGGAGGAGAGGAGGAGGAGGAGGAGGAGAGGAGGAGGATGAAGGAGGAGGAGGGGAGAGAGGGAAGAAGAGGATGATGCTGATGAGCTGATGGCTGCTGAGCTGAAGCTGCTGCTGCTGCTGCTGATGATGATGATGAGGAGGAGGAAAAGGAGGGGAGAAGGAGCCAGAAGGAGGAGTCAGGAGGAAGAGGAGGAGGAGGAGGCGTCAGGAGGAGGAGGAGGAGAAATAGTAGGAGGAGGAAAAGGAGGAGAAGGAGGAGGGAAGGAGGAGAAGAAGGAGGAGAAGGATATGAAATAGGAGGAAGAGTAGGAGGAGGGGGAGGAGGACGAGGAGGAGGAGGAGAAGAGAAGGAGGACGAGGACGAATAAGTCACGAGAGGAGTCAATATGAGGAAGGAGGAGCTTGCCAGGAGGAGGCAGAGGAGTCAGGAGGAGGAGCAGGAGGAGTCCAAGGGAACAGCCAGGAGGATCTCACGATTACTAGATCGGGAGGAGGAGCAGGAGGAGGACTGTTAGGAGGAGGAGTCAATAGGGAGGAGGATGAGGAGGAGGAAGGAAAAGGAGGAGGATGTGGATAAGGAGGTCAGGAAGAGGGAGGAGGAGTCATGAGTAGGAGGCTGGAAGAGGATATCAGGAGAGTAGAATCAGGAGGAGGAGTGGGGAGAGGAGTCAGGAGGAGGAGGCCAGAGGAGTAGGAGAAAGGAGGAGGATAGTAAGTAGAAGGAGTCAGATGAGGAGAAGGAGAGAAGGAGGAGGAGGAGGAGGAGGAGGAGGAGTCAGAGGAGGAGAAGAAGGATGATGAGGACGAACAAACTACAAGAAGCAGCCGCGAGCCAGGAGTGTCCGAATGCTCTCGAAGCACTTGCGCAGCTCATGTGGAGCCAGCGTGGCCACAGCGGAGGAGCAGGAGGGAGGGAGGGAGGGAGGGAGGAGGTCTGTCTGTGGGGGTCTCCAGGGATCTCTGGGGAAGCTCCGGGGATCGCTGGTGGTCCCGGAGGTCTCTGGAGGCACCCTGGAAGCCTCCGCATGCCTCTGACGGCCAGGCGGGAAACAAACGAGACTTCGAGAGGCGAGAAGAGGACGGACTAATCTTAATCTGAAGCTCTGTTGGCTGGATTCCGGCTTGGGAGCAGCATGATCAAGCAATGGATGACGAGTGTGGTATCTGCCACTAAAATTCAGCTAGCAGACGAAGCAAATTATCGCGAGCCTCCCTCAATTTAGTCAGTCCGGGAAGCCCGCCAACCTATCGTGAGCCACCTGCAGGTAATCAGCCAGGAAGGAGGGGGGAGGGGGGGAGGCCCCTGGAAGCCTCAAGCTGCCCCCCGATGCCCGAACAAACTCCAAAGACGTGCCAACAGGTAGCGAAATCTGGATTTCTCCCAACCCCATCTTCCCAACCCGATGATTGTGTTCCTCAAGGAGGAGGGACGGAGGAGGGGGGGCTCTGGAAGCCTCTGGAGGCCAGACAAAAATGCCCAAGCGTGCAACCCTTGGAGGGGCGAGGAGGGGGGCGAGAGGAGGGAGGGAGGGAGGGAGGGAGACGAGAAGGGGGGAGGGAGGGGGAGCAAGGAGGGAGCACAGCGACGGCGAGGATGCCTCGGGGGGGGCGTCCAGCCAGCGGGGGGCCTGAACGACGCGGGGTACAGCCAGTTGCGGGCGGGAGTCCACGGCTGCTCCTGCCGCCGCCCGCCCGCCCCTGCGAGGCCCTGCCAGTCCCCCTGCCCCCGCGGGTCCCGCCGCTTCCTTGCGCGTCCTCGCCTCGCCCCGCCCCCCCTCGCCCCCCCCCGCCCCACCTCCTCCACCTCCTGCCATCCGCTCCCTCCTCCATCCCCCCCTGCCCTGGCCAGGTTCCCGGCTCAGAAGGGAGCCCGTCCTCCCCCCCGTCTTGCGGCCTCCTCCGCCTCCCCAACTCCTCCTCCTCGTCCTCCTCCTCCTATTTCCTCCTCCTCGTCCTCCTCCTCCATCCCTCCTCCTCGTCGTCGCCGTCTTCCTCCTCCCTCTCCTCCTCCATCCTTTTCCTCAGCAATAACTCCCCCCTGTCGCACCACCATGCTCGTCCGTAGGCCGGGCTGGGCGTTTCGCTTGATACCCACTTACGTTTGAACTGCAGGGCCGGTGGGTTCCAAAATGCGGCTCTCATCTGGGCCTGGCGCGCATTCGTTTGCACACATTCCACCGGCTACGAGGAGGGTACAGGGCCCGTGGTTGATAAACTGCGGCTCTCGCCAGGGCGCCGGACACATTCGCTTGACGAGTGTTCAATAGTTACTGGAATGGAGGCCGGTTCGTTTTCAGATTGCGGCTCTCGCCTCAGCGCCGCGCGCGCACTCGTTTTCAATCAATCCCACAATTGCGCGGATGGAGGGGTGGCAATTTCCCAAATGCGGCCCTAGCCTCTCACAGATACAAGAATTGAGGGGGGTCCGTTTCAAAATGCGGCTATCGCTTATGGCTTCTTCTCGATGGCCCGGACTCCCACATAGTGCAACAGTTATAGCTATACGGTTGTACGGCGGCATCCTTTCAAAGTTAGGCTCTCGCCTTCGAATCGACACGTTAGGACAGCAACTTCGAAACTGTGCAGTGCTCACATAGATGGAGGGTAATCTCTTTGTTGCGCGGATGGAGGGCAGATCCCTTTCAAAAGGGGGCCATCGCTGGAGAGTGCATTGACAGAAAGCATTCTGCGGATTTTCGTTTCTAGTGTCTAGAAAGTGAGGGTGGGGCCTCTACAACACGGGGCCTCGCCTAAGTGGTAGGACCACCCAACGCTCGTCATTCAAGAGTCGCGCTGCCCCCAGCGGAAATCAATACTTGTAGGGAGCGGACTTGGGACGGGAGGGTGTATTGCAGCATCGTTTATGCATCCTGGGTTTGTTCTTCTCCTCCTCCTCATCCTTCTCGTCCACCCCGTCCTCCTCGCCCTCCTCATTCTTCCCCCTCCTCCTCCTCCTCCTCCTCCTCCTGTCTTCCTCCTCCTCCTCCTCCTCCTCCTCCTCCTCCTCCTCCTCCTCCCCCCCTCCTCCTTCTTGTCATCGTCGTCGTCGTCCTCCTCCTCCTGTTCACCCCCTCGGCCTGGGTATCTGCCGTTCTCTTTCCCTCCCCGCATCTCGCCCCCGCCCCCGCCACGCCCGCGTCCCGCATTTGTGGTCGTGGACGCCGTGGACGCCCACCTGGTCGTGCACGAGGAGGCGGGTGGGATGACTAGGGGAGATGGCTAGAATTTGCCGAATGTCAACATGTTTCCCAACCCTCCAGCAGTGGGTACTCGTTTTGAATAGAGCACTGCGCGCGCGTCTCCTTCTCCTCCTTCCCGCCTCCCTCTTATGCTTCCTACATGCCTCTCACATCGCTCCTACCTGCGTGCCAGCTTGCCTCCTACCTGGTCATCCCTGCGTGGCTGCGATCTGCGAAGCGGTCGCCACTGTCGAAGGCAGCCGAGGAGTTCAGCAGAGTGGGGCACCATCCAGGCCCAGATTAGACCTCGCCATCCCTGGGGGGCTGCGATCTGCGAAACTGTCGCCACTTTCGAGATTTGCTGGGGGTCCAGCAGCGTGAGACATCACCCAGAGTCATACCAGACCTCGCCATCCGTGGGGGGCTGCGATCTGCGAAGCGGTCGCCACTTTCGATGCTTGCTGGGTGGTCAACGGAATGAGGCACAACCCAAGCTCGAATTAGACCTCGCCACCCCTGGAGGGCAGCGATCTGCGAAACCGTCGCCACTTTTGAGGCCTGCTGGTGAGTCCAGCGGGGTGAGGCACTACTCAGGCTCGTATTAAACCTCGCCGTCCTTGGGGGGCTGCAATCTGCGAGCGTGTCGCCGCTTTCGAAGGTTGCCGGGGGTTCAGCGGAATGAAGCACCACTCAAAGTCACGTAAGACTTCGCCGTCCCTGGGGGCCTCGGTCTGCGAAGCGGTCGTAACTTTCGAGGGCTGCTGCGGGTCCAGCGGGGTCAGGCACCACCCAAATTCATATTAGACCTCGCCATCCCTGGGGGGTTGCGGTCTGTCCAACTGTCGCCATTTTCGAGGGCTGCTTGGTGTCCAGCGGAGTGAGGCACCATCCATATTCAGATTGGACCTCGCCATCCCTGGGGGGCTGCGATCTGCGAAGCTGTCGCCCCTTTCGAAGGCAGCTGGGGAGTTCGGCGGAGTGAGGCACCACCCAGATTCATATTAGACCTCGCCATCCCTGGGGGGCTGCGATCTGCGAAACTTTCACCACTTTCGAAGGCTCCTGGGGGTCCAGCGGCGCGTTGTCGCGGGCCGCCCGCAGACCTGGCGGCGCGCCTGCGAGCGTTTAGCCCCCGCACTGAACAGTGCAGGAAGGAAGCAAGGAAGCTGCCGGGCGAGCTAGGCCCCGCTCGCGTCTTGCATTAAGTATACATTTAATCATTTTGCCGAACGCCGCGGCGACATGGCGCAGGCAACGCCGCAACTGTAGCGTACCAACGACAAAGGAAACACTCTTCGGTCGCCTCCCGTCATTCGTCGTCGCCCTGTGCCCCCTGCCACCTTCCCTCTGCTGCTGCCGCGCTGTTGGTTTGGCCACCCACGCGTCCTTCTCCTCCCCTCCGTTCCAGCCCCTCATCTCCTCCTCAAACCTAGGCCTTCGCTCCTCGGCCTTCTGCTGTTGTCCCGTGAACCGTGCCACGCGAGCGCATCACATGTAGCTTGCGCAACACACAACAGCGCCTGCACTGTCGTTGTCCTGGCAAGTTTGGGCCAACTCCTCTTGTCACTGATGCACATCGGTTGGGTATGTCGCGGGGTAATTGTGCTCTTGCATTTTTGAATTTCTGGGCCTCCTTGCGGTCTATGGCTCTTGGACCCCTGGTGCGCCTCGATCGGCCGGCGTTTCCCCTGGGATGTGCCACCCGCCTGGCTGTTACGAACTTGACTCCTCCTCCTCCTCCTCCTCCTCCTCCTCCTCCTCCTCCTCCTCCTCCTCCTCCTCCCCCTCTTGCTCATCCTCTTTCGCATTGTCGTCGCACTCCTCCACCTCCTCCCTTGACAGAACCCCCTCTGCGAGGGATCTCTGGTAAGTCCAACATTCTCTTCGTCTCCTACCTCCTCGTCGTCCTCCCCCCTCCTGCTCCTGCTGCTTCTGCTGCGCCTCCACATCCGCTTCCTTCCTGGAAGGGACCCCCAGCAGACACGTACCCCTTCTCCTCGTCCGCCTCCCCCTTCTCCTTTCTCTCCTCCTCTTCCTCCTCCTCCTCCTTGTTCTCCTGGTCCAGCTGTTCCTGCCCCGTCTTCCTCCTCCTTGTTGTCACTGTCCACCTGGTCCCCCCCGTCTCTCCTTCCCTGTGACAAATCGCCGACAGATGCACTCTTCTCCACCTCCTCCCCGTCGTCCGCTTTCACCTCGTCCTCCTCCTCCTTCTCCTCCTCCTCTTCCTGCTGCTAGGGTCCCCCGATCTCATTCATCCACTTCCCACGGCGTGCCATCTGCAAAGACCTGCGGGCGCGCGGCGAGTGAGCAGCCGACCGTTGTGGCCCAACAGCCCGCCCTCGGTGACTGTGGTGCGTGGGCCACCGCCCAATCGACCGCAACAACGGTTCGAAGTGCCCAACCGCATTTCGGAAAACATCCTCGTCCTGTGCGCGCGCATGGGCGAGGCCGGCTTCGAGCGCATCTCAGAAGGCTGGGCGCCCAGGGTCCTCGCTCGGGTCCCCGCGTGCCGCGCCGCCTTGCGTGGGGACCTCGTGGCGTCGGCCAAGTCTGCTCGCCTTGAGCAGGACCTTCTGCACACGAGCCCACGAGCCCAGGCAAAGCCCAGGGTGATTACGACGAGGCCCAGGAGGCAGCTGCCAGGGCTATGGCGCAAGCCGCCAAGTGCAAGGCGGTGCTCGCGGAGGCCAAGCAGAAGGGCGAGGAAGCAGCGGCCCAAGCGGCCGCCGCCAGCTCAACCATGTCTGCCGCCGGGAGGATGACTCCCCGCTGGTGGCCATGCAAAAGCTCATCGACAGACTCGGCGCCCGCGCCGAAAGCTCAGGGGCGTCGCCACCTGCCTCGCGGCCCTGGCCCACGGCGCCCGTGCCAATGAGCCCTCCTGAGAAACCTATGCGTGGTGCAACTGGTGCTGGCTCCGCGGGAGCTGCAGGCAGCCTCCCAGGCCCAGGCAAAGGCCGAGTAGGCCTACGACGAGCTGCTCACCCTCCTCTCCGCGGGGGCCAGGGTAGGCGAAGGCGACGGCGACGATGATGATGACGATGCCCGGACCGTACCATTTTGGACGTGCCAAGGGACGCATGGAAATCCGACTTGTTGAAGCTTGGTTGGCGCGCGACGTGGAAAGACGCCGTGGACACACTACGTGGAGGCAACAACAGGGGCGTGCTCATCATGGTACCCCAAGCCAGTGGCATGACCGAGTTCGAAGTTCCCCCTGTTGCTGAAGGACGAATTCGTTTGGTACGCAGTTCTGGCGTGGCTCCTAGGGGGTTATTGCTTTGCACCGTCTTCATCATAGCGAAGATCGTCCTCCACAAAACTTGAACGATGTTGACTGGCCTCGGTGACGTGTTCAAGCAAGCGGCTTTGCCATTCATTGTGCGTGGTGACTTCCAGTTGCTGCCAGATACGGTCGAAGGTTCAGAATGGACTGATGCAATTGAGGCAATTTGCGTGGCACCGTCATGTGTTACCCGCGCGAACAGCTCGGAGAGCG